TCTCCATCAAGTAAATGAGGAAACTCCAACTCACATGGTCGTAAGCCTTCTCAATGTCCAGTGACACATTCACTGGCAATAAGAACAGAATCCAAAATCTGACGGCCTCCCACAAAAGCATTATGAGAATCAAAGATAACGCCATCCATAACCTTCCTCAGTCTAGTGGCTAAGACTTTGGCAAGCAGCTTGTAAAAACAACCCACCAAACTAATGTGACGAAAATCCCTAACATCTATAGCACCTCCCTTTTCGGAATAAGGGCAATGAAAGTGGCATTCAAACTCTTTTCAAAAGAGCCATGAGTATGGAAAGCGTGAAAAGAGCCCATCACCTCATCTCGGACCACCTCCTAACACTCCAAAAGGAAACGCATGGAAAAGCCATCTGGACCTGGGGCTTTATCCCCGTTACAGCTTTTCAAAGCAGACAAGACTTCCTTTTTAGAGAACGGCACCTCAAGTAAAGAGCTTTCCTCACCCAAAATCGAGTCAAAATGAAGCCCAGCTAGTAAAGGTCTCCACCTAACCGGTTCAGAGAACGAATCTGAAAAGAAATCAACAAAACCCTTACAAATCTCTTCTTCCTTGCAACACATAACCCCATCCACCTGAATCCTCCCAATGTGATTGCCTCTTTTGTGAGCATTGGCAAGTCTATGAAAAAATTTCGTGTTGTTGTCACCTTTCTTGAGCCATAAAGCTTTAGACTTTTGCCTCCAAGGAATTTCCTCCATCACAGCAATCTCAGCAAACTCCGCCTGACACTCCACCCTCCTAAGTTTCAAGGAATCTGTCATAAAACCCTGACCCTCCAATCTATCAATATCTGCAATCTCAGAGAAAGCCCGATTCTTCCTCCATGTAAGATTACCAAAAACCTCTTTGTTCCAGACTTTGAGATCATTCTTCAAAAGCTGCAGCTTATCTGCTAGGGAATGACTACGGGTTCCAGCAACATCGTACCCCACCCACCAAGAACAGACACGATCCAGAAAACCCTTAGCCCGAAGCCACATATTCTCAAACCTGAAAGGGGATCTTCTACTGCGCAACCCACCACAGTCCAACATCAAAGGAACATGGTCAGACAAAGGACGAGCTAAAGTGGTCTGGATAACATCCGAAAAGTGCTCCTCCTAATCACTCGACACAAGGAATCTGTCAAGTCTAGAGAAGGTAGGAGGAGAACAACCACTAGACCAAGTGAAGGGCCCACCCACCAAAGGAAGATCAATCAAACCAAAAACATCAATGAACTCCGAAAAAGACTCCATCTCAACCGTCCACCTACCACCTGATGATCTCTCAAACGGGGAACGAACAACATTAAAATCCCCGCCAATACACCAAGGCAAGGACCATCTCCTATGAACCTCTCCCAGCTTCGCCCAAAGCAAATGACGAACACTGTCCTCTGTAGGGCCATAGATGCCAGAAAAAACCCAACGAAAACCATCCTCCAACACAGAGAAAATGCAGGAAATAGAGAAAAGCCCAACTTGAGAGTCCATCATGGAGACCCACCGGTTATCCCACATCACAAGAACACCACCCGCAGAGCCAATAGCACCCAAAGCAAACCACTCCACAAATCTACCTCCCCATAAACTATGCACCAACAAATCCGTCATCGACTCAATCTTTGTTTCTTGCAAACACACTACATGCCCACCCCCTTTTCGAATCACTGCCTTCACCACTTTCCTTCTAGCCTGGTCATTGAGACCTCGGACATTCCATGATAGAATTTGTAGCTTCATAAGGAAACAACAGTGCGAACAGACTCCTCCCTCCCTTTACCACCCTTCTCCCTAGAACCCCTATTCCTTTTTTAATAAGTGACAAGTGTCGTTGGGCTCAGCACTCCCCTCTCCTCCACCTCCATCATTCCCAAAAGGCTCCCCCTACTCTCCCTACCTCCCAGTCGATCTAAATGCTGAGAAGACAGAACCTCCAAAAACATGTTCGTCGCCTCCTCAATTCGACCATCAAAAGAAACACCCAGCAAAGAGCCAATCTCAGTTCCTTTCTCCCTCACCCAATTCTCCTCCCTGTCCGCCCTTACTGGATCAAAACCAACCCCATCCTCAAAATTCTCATCCGGATGAACTGCTGCCAAAGGGGCAAAGAAATCAAAATTCGTTTCATTGCCACTGTCCCGACCCCAAATCTTAAAAAAAAAAAAAAAAAAAAAAAAAAAAAAAAAAAAAAAAAAAAAAAAAAAACAATCCCCATCCTCGAAGACTGACGAGGGAGGTGGGTGACCAGCCAGCATGATCCCATTATCCTCCGCAGCCAAAGACCCACTCGTCCCACACTGAAAACCCTTTAATGCTAAATGAGTCCACAACTCACTCAACAACACAGTCGCCGAAGCATCATTCAAACAAATTTTCAAATCACGTTCCACACAAACTGTGACACTCTCATCCTTCTGAACCACAGACCGAGATGGACCCAATCCGTCAACCTGACAAACCCCAAGAGCCTCCTTTTGCCCATTCGCCAATCCATCCTTTAAATCAGAGGACAAGTTGTTGGATAGAGAAGATCCCGGCCTCAACAAACCCTCCGAGCAACTCCTCGGAAAATTAGAAGAAAAAGAAAGGGAAGAAGAGGAAGGAACCACATGCGAAGGACAAATCGATGAACCCATCTTACCTGGGAGAGAGTCTGAACGAGGAATCCACTTTTGCTTCTCCTTTCGAGTCCATTTTCTTCACATGGCCGGAAGGAGAATCCTCTTCTTAACTCTCAGTCGGTGCCCCTGAGATTGAGACTTCAAATGCCGTTCGTCTTTGGAGTTTGATGGGCCAGACAAATGAGATGAATCAGCAACAGAAAGTGGTCCAAACCGGTTGGCTACTTCCAATCCAGAGCCCAAAACAGGTCCAGGATCAGTAGGCTCAGCACTTGGCCCACAACCCAAAACATTTGAGTGAACATCAGAGCAAAAAGGGGCATCCACATCTTTAACAGTCCCACAAAACGTAGACCCTTGGGTCTTATTGAAATTAGGCCCAGAAAACGACTTCACAGGACAAGAGACTTGATCCCTCACAACAATAGCCCCACCCGCTGGCCCAATCACGGGCCTGGAAATAAGCCCACCTCCACCTGAGCCCAAATTAGCTTTTTTCGCCCCAAAGCCAGAATTCAAATTGGATACAGCTATATCCCACTTAAAACGGTTGCCAATTCTACGCTAGCCACGTGTGTGGTCACCATTTCTTCCCTATCGACGCGCCCGATGCGCGTGAGGCCCAACTAGATTCAACCTTCGTTCCCAACTCTGCAAAAACATTTGCCGCCGTTGCAAATCCCGGCGACCCAAATTCCGACCACCAACCTTCGAGGAAGAAAGACTTTCCTTCATACGCTAAGAAAAGATCCTTCTAAAACAAGCAGAATTTTGATCCCACAGGTCATCACGCCACTCCTTCCATCTCTGAAACACCGCCTTCCCTTTTTCACCCATGGAAACCCACCTCATCCACTCCTCTTCTTTCAGCAAGTGAGAACCGTCGCCCCCTTCCAGGCTGTCTGTCGTCGGGACGAGTTGTGGAAGAGTCTCCTCCCAAACGGCAACCTTATAGCAAAATTGGTCATCATGAACAAAAATGAAAGGCGAGCATGTGCAACCATCCAACACGGTAATCCGAACCCTTTCAGTTTCAACAGATTCATTTGCATCCACCCAAATAAACCCCCCACACAAATCCCCAACCGTCACAAAAAGAACATGATTCCAAAGGTGAAGAGGAAGGTCGAACAATGAAACTTTCTTCAACCCTTTCTCCTTTAACACCTCCGAGCAACCCACTCTAAAATTCCATGAATCCACCCAGAGAGTGGCCTTCCCCCAGACACGGCGACCCTCCTTGAGAACTCTCTCAGCCTCCACCTTAGATGGAAATCGAAAGAGGAGCAAAGAATCCGGTAAATGTGAAACAACCACCGCCGGTGAAACCTTCCAAACCCTAGAAGCCCAAGCTGCAATCTGGTCTCTATTCCCCACTTCTTTATCGAATTTTCCTACCAAGCAAGTCTTTAGGTCCTCCCTTCTCTTACCAACTGAATCATCATCCGAAAAGATCGATTCACCTCTGTGAGTGGAAGCAGATTTCGCGAAACCACCCTGAAACAACTGCAGCAAACGAGCGACTTCCAAGAACGAACGCATGACATGAGAGAACAAGGAAATAAACAAGAAAGGAAACAGAGGATTTCACCGGAGTAGATGACTCCGGTGACTGGTCAGAGCAGTAGGCTCAGGCCGCGTCTCCGTCACAGAAAAGTTCTCTCCGCACCCTTATCTATATATTCAGCAGTGTTGCTTCAACTTGTTAGATTCTAATTCGTATATATATTTTTTGTCCGCTTTTATTCAATTTTTTGCTACAAAATATATATATATATATAACAATTTTAGCCCTTTTGATTGCGAAAAAGTACCAATATTTAGTTGGTGAACGAGATGGAGATGGAATGACTGCTTTGCAATTTCTTGCATGCAATCCTTCAGCATTCAGAAGCGGGAGTAAAGTCAGTTCTCTCAAGCGGCTCATCTACTCTTGTATGATTTTTTGCTTTGAACTTATTTTGTATGATTTTTTTCCCTGTAACTTAAGCTCCATGGACTTGAGCTATACTTTCCTTCTTTTCGTATGAGCTTCATTTGGTTGCTTGCAAAGACCAAGTGATGAAAGCAATCTAAACTTGGGACATTCCTTCTTTTTCTTTCCCTTCATCTTCTTGGCAACCAATGGAGCACTAATATCTTTTTATACTTCCATTTCAACATTGCCAATAAAAGATTCCTTTAGTTATTTCACCAAACTTTACAGAACTGATCTATGATCCCATGTTGTTGCAATCTAGAAACCCCATATATATGAGTTATGTTTGTTGTAATTTGTTAAACTCTTTTATTTTCTGTTCTTTTTTCTTTCTGATAAGCTAAGTCCTAAATATGACAAAAAAATTGGGTGTTTTCAGGTGTTGTAACCGAAGATGGTACTGTGAAAGAAGGTAAAGGGCTATATAGTAAAATTTAGCACCATTGTTTCTCTTATTTTTTATTTGGAATGTCATTTCATGATTTTTTCTCATGCATTATCTTCATAATATTATAGTTATTTTGTTTCTTGGAAGAGTTCTTTTTGATAGAATTCCTTGTGTTGCACCCCCCCCCCCCCGCGCGAATGGGGGTACTGACTTTCATTTCTTGAACAGAATCATGTTATCGGGTGCCCTTGTGGGAATCAATTAGGAATCAAAAACTGAGGTATAAGTCTGCTTTGAGACTTGCTAAGTTCTTGATAGAAAAAGATACCTCATGGGAGGCCACTGAATCTGCAATTGGTCGGAGGAAGACTAAGACCCACAAATATGGAGGGTTCTCTGCTGTTACCAAAAGCCAAGGAGAGTAGAGGAAGTACAAATGACCCAAACTAGTCATGGGAGCACTGTAGACACTGCTGAAACTCCATAATTTCTAGCGACCAAAGGCAGACATTATAGAAATTTTTGATTGATGATGATCGGTGTAATATCTTACACATTGCAGTCAAGCATCGCCAAATTCATATTTTCAATCTTGTAGAGAAAATGAAAATCCCAATGATGAGGCTCATTAGGAAGATTGACGACGATGGGAACTCCATACTGCATATGGTTGGGAGAAAAAGAAAACATCGTGCTGCTGAGGACATGCGAAGCCCTGCTCTGCTATTGCAAGAGGATTTGCTCTTGTTTGAGGTACGATCCTTCACTCCACATAAGCATCCACACAAGCACATATTATTCCCTAGCATATAAGGATGGCCATTATGGAGGCTTCAAGCCAGTGGAGCAAAGGCTGTTGTGCCATTTCTGTATCCTTTAATGCTAGGGACTATGATCCAACAGCTTGAAGCACTGTGCTTCATTTTTAATTGTGAAGGGACTACAAAATAAGAATTCAGAAATTAAACCTGTGCTGAAACTAAAACAAAGTTATTTGTGTGTTTCTACTGCGTGCAGCTTGTGCAAAAACTGTGACACCCATTTCACCAAGCACTTCAACTCTTAAGGGGGAGACTACTAAACAAGTATTTATCATTAATAAGGATAAACTTCGTACAGATGCCAAAGAATAGCTAAAGCGCACTGCAGAAAATTGCTCCATTGTTGCTGTGCTGATTGCCACTGTTGCCTTTGCCGCGGCCTACACAGTACCAGGAGGCCCAAACCAAAGTACTGGTTCTCCAATTATTCTCAACCAACCTTTCTTCGAGATATTCACCATTACTGACGTACTCTCCCTTGCATTCGCTTTGACATCAGTGGTTACATCTCTCTCCATCCTCACATCTGCTTTTCGATTGAAGGACTTCAAATAGTCTCTTCCTCAAAAACTGATGCTAGGAGTTACATTCCTGATTTTCTCTATTTCAATGATGATGTTGGCTTTTGGAGCAACAAGCATCCTAATGATATGTAATAAGCAGCATTGGACAAGAATCGCCTTATACTCAGTTGCTTTCCTTCCCGTCACCATCTTTGCTCTCTCATACTTGCCTTTCTACATGTCACTCGTGACTACTTTCAAGTACTCACTTATGAAAATAGGTTCGGCTTTCCCTCGGTTTAAAATATTTCCGTCTAACCACATCAAATCTCAGGCCAGGAGTTCCACCAGTTCTACCTACCCTTCTGCAACTCTAACCACTGATTCCCTTGTTTGAACTGCCAAATATGGAACCTAATTTGAGTGCATCTTTAAAAGACCTTCTCATCCTTTATTATTCTTTATTGTCCAAGGTTAGATCCATTCAGCGATTTCTATACTTTGTTCTATCTAGATTTTTAAGTACTTTAATAAACATGATTAATATGTTGTGTTGAGTCATGAGTGATAACTTGTGTACTGTATGGTTCTAAATTTTTAAATTGGTTATTATAAAGTATTCTGGTTTTATCATATCATCTACAGGTATTGACCTGTTTAACGGACTTAACAGAAAAACAACTAAGAAGGTTTTCAGGTTCAATTATTTGAGTAAACATTGTCTTTAACCTGTGAAACCTTGGTAAAACCATTTGAGTAAAGGTGGGATTCTGATAACAAAAGCATGTCGGTGTCGATGAGAGTTTCATTTGAATATGGCGTTGGAAGGTGTATGTTTGGAAACACCAAATCGGTGTTTTGAATTTGAAATCGAAGAAAGTTTAGTTAAAATTTTGTCCGAATTAATTTTCTTCAATCCCAATTCTGTCAATTTGTTGCCGCCAAACATATTAAGTTGTCAATCACCTATGCTTTTCATTTATTGGGTACCCGATGGAATATCAGCCAAATAAACAAATCTAAAGGCCCTTTTTTATAAGTTAAATATAGGATAAGCACTTTCATTTTTCCAAAAAACTATTATCCCAAATTTTCTTATATACTTTACTTCTGCTATTCTATTTTTTTTTTTAAAAAAAAACAAGAAACCTTATTAATCACACCCTTGGATTTGGCATTATAAAAGTAATATGATCATTTTGAACACACCCACAAAATCCACCTCAGCCTCCAAATTAACCTTTATAGTTTGTGTGTAATACAATCGGGCATATCCTGAACTAGTAAAAGTACTTGGCTTGAAATGGTTCTTCTTGAAACTGCACACTATATCTGGAAATGCACATTTATATAAAGCTGCTATTATATAATGTGTGAACCTGATACCATGAAACGAACCAGAGCACATCTCTCATTTTTAATCGATCTATATATTCTATTGAAAAATAAAATAAAATAAAAAATCAAATGACAAATCTGGTGCAGCTGTGATCGTCTAACTGTAGAGAACATTAATTCAGTGAAAATAGAGATTACATATAATATTTGATTATGGCTATAAGCTTGGTAACTAACTATTCCTTCCTGCACCCTTTGATTAATTGGAGACCACCTCAAATAACTTCTCTAATAAAACAACTGTGATATCACTTAAAAAAATGTAGAGGGGAACAATTCTTGCTTCCGATTGAACTCTGAATGTATGAAACTAGAGCAATCTGCCATCCACACTGAAAAAACCTGCAACTGAAATCAGCGTATCATTAAAATTTGTTGCAATTAAGGGCATTCCGGCGTTAATCGAAAAAATAAAAAAACAATTTTATCCTTACTAAAACGACTACATTTTGACACTTATAAATTTAATTTAATTTTTTTTATGATGAAAAAGTTATAATTTTAAGGACCAATTAAAATAGGACAACTCACTTACCAACCCCTCTCCTACCATACCAATCTTATGGTTTCTCTCTCTCTAACCTCTTTCATTTTCCGTTTGTAAACAAACCAATCTGATGGTTTCTCTCTCTAAGCCCTTTCATTCCCTGTTTGTACACAAACCAATCTGATCCGTTTCTCTCTCTCTCTCTCTACAAACATCAATCCCACCAAAACCCAATCTCTCCCATACATACACACACATATATATATAGAGGCGCACAGAGAGGGAGATGCATGAGTCTGGGATATACGTTGAGCGTTACAATCATTCATATTCTCAATCAATGGAAAGAGACGTGACTGATGAAGCAGCAGTCTTGATGACAACAGAAGATCCCCTTGTGGTGAATGTGAAGCCACGGGCAGAACACCTGGGCAGAACAATCAATTGAATGAATCTTTTTGAGTATGGTATGGGTACTCGCTTTGCCCTTATAGGCTTAGCCTTTGTGTCGCTAGAACGACTGATGACCATGCTCTCGATTTGGGTTCGCCAAAACAAGTAATTGGGTCTCAATCTGAAATTAAATTCGGCCGCGATTGTGAAGACTGAAAGGTGGTGTGTCGCCGGCGAAGTTAGGGTTCCGACGAGGAGTGTGTGCGTCGGCCGACAGGAGTAGTGTGGTACTGTTTGGGTTTCACTCTCTCTAATTGGGGCTTCAAATACTCTGTTTCATTCAAACCCGCTTCTGAATTTGTTGATCCATCTCTATATTTATGTGACCCATCACTGTTGCTGAATCAACTGTTTCTTCTCCTCTGAAAATTCTTCTATACTCCGGACAAATTGTGATGGATAAATTAGTGTCTAAATATCTATTTATTTATTATTTTTTGGGAAAAAGAAACTCTCCTGGGCAGGGTTCCTTAGGGACCCACCCTAAGTTACAAACATGTGCCACGCGCACTGACTGCGCGTGTTGGCTCCTCAACACGCGCAGCAGTCAATCGAGAGGAATAAATGGCTTGGGAAGAGTCGAACACCGGCCATTTTAAACCTGTCTCCAAGTTCTAACCATCACAGCTATGCTTCTAACCATCACAGCTATGCCTCCGATGCCAATTAGTGTCTAAATATAGATGTGTGTGTGTATATATTATTTAGGTCGGCAATATATTATTTATTAATTTATTTTACCAAGAAGATGAACACTATATATGTATGCGTCTGTATAGAAATAAGGGGTAAGGCTATAAGGGCATGTTTGGGTGCAAAAGTTAGTTAAAGAGAGGTTGGGGTGCAAGGACAATGGAGTCAGTATGGTCATATCGTGGGTTTAACGTAGGATCGGAGGGAGTCATTTGCAACAAAAATGTATGGTTCAGAATATTTTTGTAATTTTTGTAGTTCAGTAAGTTTGTTGCGCATTTATTGATAATTTTGGGAAGTTTTTTTTTTGCATTTAATCCAAATAAATATGACAAATTTAAAATAGTTTATTACTTAAAAGTTGATTGGATAAAGCATAGTATCCATAGGTAGCCATGTAGTCATCCTATAAAATTTACTCTACATAAAATACACCACTGTGGGCAACAAAGAACCCATCCATGCCGCTGTTCCGAGCTTTATTGACTGTCGATTTCTCTGCAAACTCCATGGTTGCACAGAGAGAGGTTAGAGAGAGAAGGTGGAGAGGGGCAAGAGAAAGTGAGAGGGGAGAGGATACTAAAACAAAAAGTTAGTAGACTCTTATTGTCTTATATGGAAGGAAATACTACCAACATAATTTTTTTTTCTTATAATAGTGATACAAATTTGTTCCCTATACAGATGTGCACCAACTTTTACTGATTTCAACTTTCGAAAGAAAAAATGCTTTTACTGATTTCAACTTTCGAAAGAAAAAATACTTTTCCTGATTTCAATTTCCTGTAAAGTAGAATCATGCAGATGCCGTTTAATTTCATGAAACAATTAGAAGAAATATTGGTATAAAAAAAAAAGGACACCTCATGAAGACCACTGAATCTTCTATATAGTTTAGGATAAGCTAAAGTCTACAAATATGACCCCTCTGTACAAATGCCCCCAACAAGTCATGCAATTAACTGCTATAAATAAGTATATAAGTCATGCAATTTAGACTATATACATATCAACATATTTAAAATTTTACATATATACACACACACAAACACTCTATAATTGCATTTCTTAGTGACATTGTTTTCCCTCCTTAACATATATCATATGTGGTTATGTCATATGTTTGGAAGTTATTTGCATAGAGTATAATTAGTAGTAGGGATTATTACGCATACATGTAGTTTTGGACTTTTATTTACTTATTTTATGAAGTCAAAATCATGATATTTTGAAAAAAAAAAAATAGAATTTATTAAAATGCCCAAGTAAACAAGAAAAAGCATTGTTAATTAGCCTAAATTGTACTACTTATATATATATATATATATATATATATATATATATATATATATATATATATGTAAATACTACTCTGAGTCTCTGACACATAGAGGTACTTCTTATTTCGTTTCTTTTCTTTTTTCTTTTTTCTTTTTGTACATAGCTCATTTTGATAATATGATCTACATAAAAAAAAAAATAGTACATGTGTGTACAAGAGTGGTACTTACGCACACAAAAGTGATACTTATGTGCACAAAAATAATATCTTTATGCACAAAAATAGTATATAAAAATACTAGAGAGTAATTTCGACTGATGAACAATATTTTTCCATATCCACGATAACTTTATTTTTTCAAAACATCTCATTAGAACTCCATAAAATGATAAATAAATTCCATATATACAGAATAATCCTTTATTAGTATCATTAGGCAGTGTTTTTAGCAGCTCATTACATGACTTGTTGGGGTATTTGTAGAGACTTCCTTTACTTATTTATCATATTTGTGGTCTTCACTGAAACCCTCTCAGTTAATGGTTTGACCGGAGCTCACCGGTTTTTGAGATTGAGCTCTATTATTGCAATCTGGAACACACCGGTATTTGGTCTGAGATTTGCCGGAATCAATGGAGTAATTAGCTAGGAGCTTCTCCCCATCTTCAATGTAACTCCGGTCGAAATGGATCAGTCTGAAGCTCTGAACTCTCACCCCTTCTAGGTAACTGAAGCTCTGTATCTTCGCTGGTGGTTTATAGGTGAGTTTCTTTGATTTGGTTGCTGCAACTTTCTAGGTCTCACCTGTTTTTCACAAATGAAGATTCTTCGGCTGTTTGGGTAGCTGAATCACAGTGCTTCTCCGGTTGATTTGTCACTAACTAAAGTTTTCTGATTTCCGAGTATGCTCAAATTATTGGTAGCTTGATGTATTTAATGAATTGTTCTAGACTTGATATTGCATATGCAGTTTGTAGGTTGAGTAGGTACACTTAGAATCCTAACAAGGATCACTGGACAGCTCTAATTCGAGTACTCAAATTTTTGAGAGGTACTCATGACTATAGGTTAATGTATAGTGGATTTCCCGCGGTACTAGAGGGGTATAACGATGCTAACTGGATCTCTGATTCAGATGAGATGAAATCTACAAGTGGATATGTATTTACTCTTGGTGGGGGTACAGTGTCTTAGAAATTTTCCAAACAGACATGCATAGCTCAGTCTACTATGGAATCCGAGTTTATAGCCTTGGAAAAGGCTGGATCTGAGGCTGAGTGGCTTAGAAACCTCTTAGCAGATATCCCTATATGGATCAGACCGGCTTCGTCCGTGTCTATGCATTGTGATTGCCAGGCTGCAATTGCCAGAGCAAAGAATAAAATATACAATGGGAAAAACAGGCATATACGCCTAAGACATAAAATTGTGAGGCAACTGCTTGAGATTGGGGTGATATCCCTAGATTTTGTGAGGTCAGAGATGAATTTGGCAGATCCTCTGACAAAACCACTAGGCAGAAAACTAGTGAGTGATACATCGAGGGGGATGGGACTTATGCCTAAGACAAAGATTAACAGTGATGGTAACCCAACCTATGTGAATGGAGATCCCAGGAAGTAGGTTCATATGGGTAAAAACAAGTTACTGGTTGATCAGACAGAGTGCAATATCAACTTTATTTTTGAGAATCCCTCCCTATGGTGTAGATAGTGCAAAACTGTAACGTAAGAGGTTGAATTAAAATTTCTTAATGAATTCTATATCCCTTATGGGTGGTGTGTGTAGTTGCAGTACACACTTGATGGATTCACCTATATGAGTGTGGAGGTGGGGCCGCCTCCTATGAGAGCTTAGGCAGGCTCTCTAGAGCACTCATGAAATCCAGGTAGGGCGCAAGGCCTATTTGTGCCAACCCGTTATGAACAGCTTCAATATAGAGATAACAATGTGAGAGGTTAGTTGTTTGGTTTACAATAGTAAATCTTGGTTCATAGAAACATAGTTTCACCAATTTTTCTATGAATCACGGCTTACTTCCCTAGGGCTGGTTCGTAGTCCAAAAGACACCAGTTCCGACGCATTGGGTTCTCATGGTCCTCTGGTTACTCCTCTAGTTTCTCTCTTGGTTACTTCTATATTTTGAATATGTGGGGGATTGTTGTACATTAATGTATTTCAAAATATGTATATATTTTCTAACGTTCCTATATCCACATCAGCCTATTATTATGCCACTACATATATTAACTTATCCTAATATCTGCAACGTCACATTAACGTGTCATCGTACAAAGCATCAGATAAGTTCTCAAACAGAGAGATTATTTTCAATTCAAATACATTTTAGGTGCATCTGGAAGTATTTAAAGAATATGACTTTATTCTCCATAGTTGATAAGAGGCACAATTGTCCATAAGAACACCTATTACTCAGAAACCAGATAGGAGCAGAAACAACGCAAACAAATATACAAACTAGTCTACTAGACATAAATATCGTCATTATTTTTTCTAAACAGACTACTATTAACTAAATCTTATGTATGGGTACTAGTGACTAAATCTTATGTACAACCAATTTTATGTACAGCCGATTCATTGCTGAATAGTGTGTTACCAAAACATTAACATCGAGTCTCAAAATTTAGTAAATCAAAGTCAAATAATATCAATATTGCAATCTAATTAATGAATAAATTTTACCTTAATGAATTATGTAGGAGGTTTAGGCCTACAGGACACAACCTCAGTCTTCTTAATTCCATCGAACACCTCAGCTTGAAAGATTTTAGACCCACCATCATTAGCATCCTTGGCCTCAAAAGTAATATAATAGATAAAACCAGCAGCAACCTGTTGATTTGCCTTCTGAACCTTCACAAAGTCATAATTTACCTTCTACAAGAGATTTTACAATGGAAAATAAGGGTCAGGAAAAGAAAATATGTATATAATATATTCACCTTAAAGATGAAATGGAAATGAAAAATAATTTTTTTAAAAAAATAACACGTACATAATCTCTATTGTACTGCCGAATTGCTTTTTTTGAAAGCTTTTTGATAAGCTTTGGTAGGCCTTCGCTCTCGTTGGGCCAGGAAATTGGGCTAATTAAACCCAAATAAGAACGTAAAAGCGGATAGTTATCCACATCAAAGCCCTATAAAAATGCTCACAGATTATTAGCCAAATAATATATATATATATATATATATAAATTTTTCTACATAATACGGAAGTATATTGACAGAATGCATTGTAGAAGGATATGTACATTGCTGTCCTCAGCTTGTTTTCGGTATTGCCAAAACAATTCATCCATCTTCTCTTCATCGTCTGAATCAGTCTCTTGAATGGTCTCTCTCTGTGCAGGGACTTCTGGTATCTTTAAAGTAATGTTTGCATTAGAGAGCATAAGCGCGAACTCCCGCTCATCATCAGAGTCCATGTCCCCGGACATCATTTTTTGCGTAAGAGGATCATCTGGATCGCAATAGCATTCCCCCCCGCAATAGCAATTCCCCCCGCTATCGTCATCGGAATCATCATTAGATTCATCGTCAGATTCATCACCAAGTTCAGGATCATACCCTTTTTTCTCACCATCAACAGGCTTATCGGTTTTCTGTTTCTTTTCTGGTGGTGGTTTAGAAGAGATTTCTGGAAATTCTGGTGGTTGAGAAGAAACATGAGCAGAAGCCATGTTCGGAGGTTAAACTGGAAGATGGAAAACAAAACCCAAAACACCACTAGACCATTAGGTCACGACCGGGTCAAAATTACAAAACAAGATATGTGAATAACAAAATTAAATTGCTTAGTAGTAAGATATGTTAAATATTACTTTTCATAATATATTAAATGTCAAACACCCCCACTGCTTTGTTTGGAAGGAAGGAAGGAAAGGAAGAGATTTGGAGCAGCTTTATTTGGAAGGAAGAAAGCAAAGAAGGAAATTCTTTCCCTCTAACGAGAGGAGATAAGGAGAGAAAAAATAATAAAAGAGACATCATCCAAATATAAAGGAAAAAAAATTTGTCTATTATAATTATACAACTTTTAAATTATAATATTATGTTGGAGAGAAAAATTTATATTAGAGACATCATCCAAATATAAGGGAAAACAAATTTGTCTATTATATAAGTTTTACATTACAATAGTATTCAAAATTATACAACTTTTAAATTATAATATTATGTTTTATAAATTATAATATTATAGTTATGGACAAGTATAGTAAAAAATAATTTAAAAATATATTTTAATTTAAAAATAAATCTTTGAATGAAAATACCTCAATTAAGGTACCTATTATGTCACTAGACCTTTTTAATGTAAAGTTAAAAATATATTTTTTCTTCTTTCCTAATAAAGACAATAAATTGTGAACTCATTTACTTCTATATTTCATTCAATAAGCAAAATAGTCACCTCATAAGTCACAAAAAGATGTTGGGCGAGTGGGGCATGCCAAACCCACCATGCGTTCATTATATAATTCCAATGTTCCAATTCTACACCGTCCAACATAGCCAGCTTTGTTTGGTTTTTTTTGGAAAAAAAGATAGTTTTTTCCGTAATTATTTAAAAATAACTTTCTATTAACAAAGTTTTCGTGGACAAATTTCACCTCATAAGTCACAAAAAGATGTTGGGCGAGTGGGGCATGCCAAACCCACCATGCATTCATTATATAATTCCAATGTTCCAATTCTACACCGTACAACATCGCCAATTTGTTTGGTTTTTTTTGGAAAAAAAGAAAGTTTTTTCGTAATTATTTAAAAATAACTTTCTATTACAAAGTTTTCGTGGACAAATTTCACTTTATTGTGTTCACCCAATTAATCGATTAATATGTTGGTGGATGCGGGAGTTTGTGCATTTGTATATTATTGCGTGTGAAAAATGTTTTTTTGCTAAAGGTCATAATCAGGGCTGGCCTTGAGATTCCAAATACAAATACAAATACAAGGGAAAACAAATTTGTCTATTATAATTATACAAATTCTAAACTATAATATTATGTTGTAGAGAAAATTTTATATTAGAGACATCGTCCAAATATAAGGGAAAACAAATTTGTCTATTATATAAGTTTTACATTACAATAGTATTATAAATTATACAAATTTTAAATTATAATATTATGTTTTATAAATTATAATATTATAGCTATGGACAAGTATAGTAAAAAATAATTTAAAAATATATATTTTTTTCTTTTCTAATAAACATGATAAATTGTGAACTTATTTATTTTTATGTTTCATTCAATAAGCAAAATAGTCACCTCATAAGTCAGAAAAAGGATGTTGGGCGAGTGGGGCGTGCCAAACCCACCATGCATTCATAATTCCAATGTTCCGATTCTACACCCTAAAAAAAAAAAAAAGAAGAAGAAGAAAAAAAATTTTCGTAATTATTTTAAAATAACTTTCTATTAACAAAGTTCTTGTGGACAAATTTCAACAAATTTTCACTTTATTTTGTTCACCCAATTAATCGATTAATATGTTTGTGGATGCGGGGGTTTGTGCACCTGTATATTATTGCGTGTGAAAAATATTTTTTTGCTAAAGGTCATTCAGGGCTGGCCCTAATATTTCAAATATTTTGAGAGGCCCTAAGTAAACTTTCAAACGTGAGACTCTTAAGTTTCACACACGCAAAAGTGCATAAGACAACTAACTAATAACTATAAATTTATCACTACCAACAAATAATTGTGCGCCTATACAGTATGCATAAGACAACTAACTAAAAAGTATAAATCTATCACCACCAATAAATAATTGTGCGTTTGTGCAGTGTGCTTAAGACAACTAACTAATAACTATAAATTTTTATCACCACCAATAAATAATTGTGTGCCAGTGCAATTTGCATAAGACAACTAACTAATAACTATAAATCTATCATCACCAATAAATAATTGTGTGCATGTGCAGTGTGCATAAGACAGCTAACTAATAATAATAAATTTATCAATTAAAGAGTGCAAAATTTTCACAAGCACAAAATGAAAAATGAAGAGAACAGTTTACTAGAGAACAGAAAACTGCAGCTTCTTTTACATTCATTGTTTATATAGCTACTAAAATTTGATGATTACAAATGACAAAAATATGTGGAGATGAGGTGACTATATATATATAGGAGCCTGACCTTGTAGTACTGAAGAAGTAGTGGGACTTTTAGGTTATATGTGGCATCCACTATCATATATAGTTTTGTCTTTCCCTCTTTATATTAATTACACTACACTTTGTGTTTTTTTTTTTTTTTGGCAGCCAATTACCCGCAGTGATTGATTTATCATTGCTACAGAAGACCTGTGCAAATTAATAGAAAAAACCATTAACTTTTGTTTTGTTAAAGCCTGCTCTTGATTTCCATGTGTTTGTACATTCTGATGGCAAGTGCTTTGACAGTATAATTAACTGAAATTCTAGCTGAACCAACTTCATATAACATCAATAATGGTGGTATGTATCTTCATATAAAAATAAAAATAAAATAAAAAACCCTTAATTTGGCACTTTTAAGTATGAGCATAATTTAGAGATCGAAAAAGTTAATTATTACCTCAACCCACTAGAAGGGATCCTTAATAAATTATGAGGAAAAGGGGTATGGTTGCTGCTGTTGTGAGATTGGAGTGGACTTAGGGAGAGGAAAAAAGAAAGTACCTGCCATATATTACGGACTCGATCGCCATGAAAGACACATGTAGAAAGGCACACATTTATTAAAATACTAAGAGAGCCATAATTTATTCATTCAGATTTTGATAGCCATCACACAGAGTGACACACACACAACCCTAGTTTGGAAGCTACCACTATTGGAACAAAGGTAAAGGCCCGAATCAAACGAACCAAAGTTAGAACAAATCAAATGATGAGATGAACGAAAGAAAGAAACATATATAAAAGATCGATTCATACAAAAGGAGAGAGAATAGAGAGAGAGGATGAACATACCTAGTCACCTGAGGCGATAGCGGAGGCCGCGCCCTGTGGAGTGTCGAACCAGATTGTGTCGTCTGAAACCTGCCCTAACTTAATTTTTTTATTTTTTCCATACCCTATGGCCCTCAAAATTTGAAGCCTCTAAAATTTGAGGCCCAAGGCGACCAGGACTTCTCGTCCTAACTTGTCCCAAGACTTGTCCTAACTTTATATTTAGCCCTCAAAAATTTGAGGGGCCAGGGCCGGCCCTGGGTCATTGTATACATTGTAGAATAATAAAATTTTAATATCATAAGTCCTAAAAAAAAATATTTGAGTTATGAGTAACATTATTTATGATATGTTAAGCAATACATTATGCTAGTAATAATTGAAATATAAAATTACAATATATATATATATATATATATATATATATATATTTAAAGAATTATGACTTGAGAAATCTATATATTAATTCTAGATTCTTAAAGAGATATTGTTTAAATTTTTGTGCATGGAATGATTACTTAGAATAATTATGAAGTATCTATATAATTTGTTACCATATATTTATATGTCTATGCATTGTACATACACACATATTTAATATTTTTATATTTAAATAATGAAACAAAAATTATCAATATAAAGTGAACATCAACGTGACAAGGATTTGTTATCATTTTTTTATTCTCTTAGTATTGCACATTTCTAATATTTTGTATTCCATGTTAAGTATAATTTGTCATCCAAGACAAAGTAGCATCTAGCTGTTCATAATTCAATAAATGAGAAATTCTTGTAAATTTGAGGATTTGTTTGGGGAATCTTCTGGCCATTTGAAGTTGTTTCTCAAAAAGATATGTTAAGGCCCTATTTGGGGGAGTTTCTTGATGCCAAGAAGTCATTTACTAAGAAAGTCCTTGAAGATGAACTTTAGATAAAAGAAATTTAAATCAGAAAATATGTTTGGTATATTAATTTTTAAAATCCTTTTGAATTAAAGAAATAATTTCAACCACATAATTTAATATTTTTAAAGTGACAGCGTTATCCTCACATTTCCTGAACAAGAACACCATGTATTAGAGAACCAATTATGAGATAAAAAGTATATACAGGCTATACAACATTACCACTTATAAGATACAAGTATTTATATATACACACACACACATACATAATTAATCATTATTCTTTAGATTTGGACAACTTCATAATTATTCATCTCCATGTTAATCTCAGAATGAATTTTAATTTGGTGCAAGTCCATCTTAAACAAAAAGATGACTTCAAAGCTACTTCTCACGGGTCACGGGTCACACCAGAGTCATATAAATACACCATTTTCTTTACCATGTAACACACATAAATAAATAAATAAATAAATAAATAAATAAATAAATATATATATATATATATATATATATATATATATTGACTCCCCCATTTCTAAGTCATTTTTTTACATTCTATATCAAAGAGGCTAAAAAAGGGAAAACCAAGCAAAACACACGCACACACCCAACAAAAAAGAATAATAATATATTAAATATAAACTTCATTCTTTAATATATTAAATATATTAAAAAAGAATCCCATGCACATGCACAAAGGTACTGCACCACCAATCGGTTAGTGATGCCAACAAAGAAAACTTAACGCCTAAATCTGACTAAGGTTGCATTATATTAATTTTTTAGAACCTCCACCAATCGGCTGGAGGTGGTAGCGGTCACCGTCAATTTTAACGCTATCGCAAAGAAACTGGGATATAAGAGAGAGGAAGGACGGAGGAGGAGGGACTACCGAAGTAGCGCGTTGTACAGAAAAACAAAGGTTGTAATTGAATAAACAATAAAGGTTAATACAGGCAATGTAATCAGTATTTAAGGATAAAATAGTAATCTTATAATATTCCAATATATTCCAACAACCCATGTTTAGCATGTTTTGAGAAGCCTATATTGGAAGCAGGTATTTGTAGCTTTCGTCCAACGGGTTTAGATGACTTCCACTTTTGTTAAAAGCCCGTTTCATTAAAGCCGCCAAACACCTTTTTTTATTTATTTAAGAATGCCTTTTTGAGCTTGGAAGCCCGTTTTGAAGCCCTCTACATCTTTTTAATTTTGAATTCTTTTTATTGGCAATATATTTTTTTTAATTCAGTCTATTATTTTTTCAATTACCGTATTATCCTACACTTCTAACCTATCAATCCTTCCATGAATTAGACCAAACATAACTTTTTATTTTCATTGACCCAAATCATATTCGCAATTGACATTAAAGTCAGAGCTCCGGTGATCGAAATCTAATTACTCAAAACTTGTTGCAAAGGTTACAAACAATCTTATATCTCAACTATTGCCGCTATGATTCGCTATATGGCCACATTGAAATAGCCTGATTCAAAAAAATTTAAAGATTCGTTGCAGTTATCGTAGAAGGTGTTGCCTGTCTTGGTCAGAGATAACAATCTTAACAAACTAAAAGACAAAAACAAAAAATTAAAATAAAAAAATAATTTTGGATGGGTTTTGATTCATCACAATATGAATTATGAAAAATTTAACGAAAGAGAGGTTCAGTGAGGAAGCAAATACTACAGAGGGAACGCAAGAGAGAACATGGAGAGAGCAATACGGGTAAATAAATGAATGCTCAAGGTTGATATGGGTAAATATAGGGTTAAGTGAAAAAATCCCCCTCTACTATTGATATAGTGCAAAAAAGTTCTTGTGTGGTATAAAACTCCCTTATACTTTCAATTTGGTGCAATTAACCCCCACTTCAAGGACATTAATACCCTCTTGTCAATAAAATAAAATAATATTAAAAAAACCATGCAATATAAAATTACTATTTTAGACATTCCCTCTGATTCACGGTGTCCAGAGCACATACTGAGGAAAAGAGAGAAAATGAAACAACATGTGCAGTAAGATCACTGATGAGCACCGAAAAGTGCGCATTTAAACTCGTTAAGCTTAAGCATTCTAGTACTTTTATCTATCTTACTTTGCCATTTTAGACTTATTACGAGTTATTTATATTTTCAGGCACTAATCCCAAAATTGAGCTAACTCAGCCAAATAAGAGTTTAATTGAAGCAATCCTGAGATAAACCAAAGGAGGGAGCAAAGTGGAGAAAGAAAGGAGCAAAAAAGAATCAAAGTTGTGCAGCTGAAAAGTTCGATCGATCCAACTTAGAGTTCGATCGATCGAACATCTATGATCGATCACAGTACTTCTCGATAGATCCAACCTTGGCCTTTGCTGAAATTCCAAGTTCGATCGATCCAACATCACCTTCGATCGATCGAACCCTATTTTGTCCTATTCAAATGATTGATCTTATCCACAGCTGTACACCTACCAACCACTTTTGTCCTTTTCTGTAATACCCCTAATTTTCAAAAGGATAGTCTCGGTATTTTGTTTAATTGTTTTCTGTTTATTAATTATTTTTGGTTCATTAATTGTTTTGAATTATGTTTTAATATGTTTTAATTGGTTTTTTTTATTTATTTGATTTCCTTGCCTTATTTGTGTTCTTTGAATTAATTGGTTGGTTTATTTGTTTTCTTTGGGTTTAATTAATTTATTTGATTTATTTACATTAATTATGTGTTTAATTGTAATGGTGTTATATTTAATTCTTTATTGTAAATTTAAATTGGTAAGCGTCTTGATTTAATAAGTAGGGTTTTACTTTTAATCAGTTTGTAAGCCGTCGTAGGTTTCTCAGTATGTTGGATGGGCCGGTTAGGTTTTCAGTTGGGGCTTAGGGTTTAGTAAAATCCTATAAATATATGTTAGATGTTTGGTTAGGGTTTGAGAAACATAACAAAACCTATACGACTATGGAGACAAAGGAAGAACAGAGAGGGTTCACATTGGTTTTCATCGGAACTTTAGAGACGGCGTAGAGATTTTTGGACAAAGATCTCAAAGGCAAGTTCTAACCTTACTCTCTCCCTTATACTCGTGTTCTTTGCATACTCAATAGTTCCAGGATGAATTACATGTTTAAAAAAAAAATAAAAATGTTAGCTGTTTCATGTTCAGAGTTTCACTGAAACTGAATTTGTTTTAAAAATTGTAAACTGTTTAAACTTTGAACTTTCTTGTTTAATTCTTGGTTTAATCCATATTAGTAGCATAATAAGGACTGAATTAAGGGTTGGAATCTTCTAGGATTAAGTTAAACTCTCTGAAAACCTATACTGTGAAGTATCGGAGGCGTAAACGGCGACCGGAGAGGAGAACACGAAGAAGAGGAGGGAGAGAGCCGGCTCTCCTTGGACTGGAGGCGGCTCTAATGGTCTAGGAGCCAGCTCCAGGGCCATTGGAGGCGGCTCCAATATTCTGGAGCCGGCTCCAGGTTGTTTATTCGTGGGTTTTTGGTTATGTTAGTTGTTTTTCCAATTTTCAGTGATTAGGCTTCCTAGTGATTGTTTTAATATGTTTTAGTGGAGAATAAATACTGTAATGGATGGTTTAGGAGTGGTCTAGAGTAAACATAAATATGCAACGATCAGATTAACATAGAATTGGACACAAAGCATTAATCATTAGGATTACATGGAGTTAATTACGAATGTCTTGTAGACTTGTGTGGGTTTGGAGTTTCTAACTTCCAGATTATAATGTAAAATTTCTTGTGAGAGTTTGTGCACTTCTAATTGCAAATTCTTAGAGTATACCTACATACAAGGAATCTGTATTTTTGCTAAAGATTAATTGATGATTAAACTTAACATTTAATTCGTCAATTTTGTTGAATAGGAGCTTAACAGTATGATAAATTGTCTAGATTTATTATGCATGCCATGGAAATAAATATTATAACATTTGTTTAAGCTCTGTTAATTATGGATACCGGGAATAAACTTATATTTACAGACACAGTCCTGTGGGTGATCAGGTAACGGCTTATTGTTGGATTAATTAAGCATGTTTTTCTAGTATACTTTAATGTGCTTAGTTTGGAACTGTGGGTTTTGACACTGATACTGTTAGTACTTAATCAGTGGTTGGATTTATTAAAGCATGATGGTTAATCTATTCTAACATGGTTAGGTTGGAATTGTTGGTTTTGACATTTATAAATTATTTAA